AAAGACATGAAAGACGTAAAACAATAAACAGCGGATTCAAAAACTCAAGTCAGAAAAACAGAACACAAGAATACTACCTCACATGGAAGCCAGTCGAAGTCGACGAAGAACGAACACAGTTGACAGCTGTAGGTCACGTGCAACAACAGACACGAGGAGCATGGCTGCTCTCCAAATGGGTCCCTTCTTTTGTATTGACCCCCTAATGATTACTGATCCCCCTTTCTAACTCTTCCCCCAAAAATAATATATCGCCCCTTTTAAAATGTATTGACCCACAAATTAATGAATATTCATGAGCACAGAAACTGCTACGTGATGAATAAATTAGCATAATTAAAAAAAATTGCATAAAGTGTAGGTACGTCTTCTGGAGTCCTGCCAAAATTGATCCACTGTTCACACAGAATACTCAGCCAGATTCAAACTCGGACAGATTCAAGCTCGGTCAGGTTTAAACTCGGTCAGGTCATGCCAGTGGCACTCGCCCAGTTGTAAACACCATGGTGGTGGGCTGATGGGTGGTAATGGGTCAATAATTATTACCTTATTTCACTTTTGTTTCATGTGTCATTTCATTTTCAGATACCATTTCACTGATATGTTGTTGATTTCAATATACCAGGCATGACTGCTATGTCAATTTCAGTGATGCATGTTTTGTGTCACTGAAATCAACACTCACTGTCACTGTATTGCACAGTAGTTTTTTTCTACCAGGGCTGTCTGTACCAAAACATCAACTACAGATAAAATGATCTGTTAGAAAATGTTACATTAACACCCAACCAAACCATTAAACCTAACCCACCGGCCGTCTTCAACCTCCAGCCTTGTTCAAATCTGGCCAAGTTTGGTTGTCACCAAAAATAGATCCACTGTTCGCATCGCAGTGGTAAAAACTGAAATTTATCAGGAATGCATATTCAAGATAGCACAAACATGCAGTACCCCAATACTCTATATAAGAAAACAACTTCCAAGACAAACTACATAATTATTTCTTTCATAAACTACTCATAGATTTAATTTTCATTAATCAATAAGTTAAAATTTGTTACAAACTAATCCCAAACAAAAATCATCATAATTTTTATTTTTTTTACTAATTTTGATGATTTCTGAAGCTTGAGTCATTGTTACTTTTAGATTCTGATCCAAACTGAATAAATCATCACATAATTACTAGAATTAGCAATTAGATGTTTTTTTAACTTTAACTTTAATTATTTTACCATACTTTTTCTTTACAGGGGAACAAAAGATTATGCTGATTTCTGGGTTTTCTTCAAAAAATATTTGCAATATCAGAATAGAAAAGAAGCATCCAAGGAAGGTAAAACACCTACATGGCAATTTAGTAAATAGACAGAAAATCAATGTCAGTATTATTGTTGTAAGAGAAGACATCTAGGTACATCTTGAAAATATTGGGATAGCTAAATAAATTATCGTCAAATACTTATTTAAATATTTTTCGCTGAAAAGACTTTTGGATGTTTTGTATGGAATTTATTTTTCACTAATTTTTGACTAGTTGAATGTAAAACGTAGGAAAAAAGATATGTTCGCTGGATTTTATTTTCACTTAATCATTTCTTCAGTGAAAATTAATTCCAAGCGAAAATGTTACAGTACCTAAAACAACATCCTACATGTTGCTGACAATAGAACATACACAAAGCCGTTTTTTTGTCAAGGTGGTACCATATCTGTTTTTGTAGGTCTATCAACTTCCAGATCTGGAAGCAAAGAGATGAGCGATGTACTTGGATTACCAAAGAATTACGACAAACGATATCGTATTAACACGTCACTAAGATCAAAGTATTTCGATCATTATACAAGGCCAGTATCTGTTACTGGTGAGCAAGGTATGTACAGTAAACTACATCACATGATGTACATAAATTTGGTGTTCATTTTATAAGATTCAAGTATCCTTGCTAGACATCTGTACCATCCATGGATATAGTTATAGGCATTTTTGCTTACTGATATAGACAAATTTAAAATAATTATTAGTATTCTGTTCATGAAACTTTTAATTTAAATGAAACTTATTTGATTTAACTTTTGATCAACTAAAATAAAAATGTTTTTTGTTGTTGCTTCAGTACCATCTCATTATTTTTTCGGATGAATATTCTGTCTAATGTATGATCTCTGTATACTTCAGTAAAGACCACCTGTCCATAAAGACCAATTTCAATGAAGTCCCATGGGTGGTTCTTATACACAGGTTTGACTGTATAACAATCACTTCATGAATAAACACAATACTCTTATATTATATTTCACCAGATGAAGACAAGCTGAGTAAGGAGAAGGTTTCTGAATTCCGTTTAGCGCTTCTTCATTACGTAGATTTCTGCCAAAAACAACAGGTATTGAGTTTTTATATGTGTATACATGTACTTTAGTACTGTCAAGTTCAGCCATATCTGTTTTTGTTACTATAGCGATGATTACTATGAAGATGATATCTCTGACGAAAAATGTCAAAGTCTATGATTGTCAATCGTTCTGCAACTATGATTGTATGGGTTTGAATAGATCTACTAATTTGTGTGATTTGGGGTTTTTAAAAAGGGAGATGAGAAATGGTTTCATCATTCAATAGGATTTTGGGAAGCAAAATTTAATATTTATCTTCTTTTTATAGTTTAATAAGTTGTCTAAATTACGAAGAGATCAAGGAAATTTACCGATTGCACAGTACAAAGATAAAATCATCAATGCCGTCCGAGCCAATCAAGTCATAGTGGTGGCCGGAGACACTGGATGTGGAAAATCAACTCAGGTAAATGATTACTAATTACATCATTTGCATAATTTAAGAATCTTGTGCATATAAGTTTGTAAATGTATGACATCATCAAACGCCCAAATTCACTACGTTCAATTACCCGCCATAGACTCCGGTCAATCAAAATGACTATTTTGAACTGTAGGCATTAATCAGCGATTCTGCCAATGACGAAGAGATAGAATCTAGGTGAATGGAAGCCCCATGACCCCAAGATTCTTTTTCCTTACGTCACGAACCACGTGACCGAGGCCATATGGCGGCGCCCATATAGCTGGCTGATCACTCTTGATTTTTCTTCTCCTCGAATGGAGATGAAATCTAGCGAGCTCTGCCTGGATCGCTTGTTTTTTTCCTGTCCGGATTGGGTTGTTGCCGCTGGGCGGCATGTGACATTGTTGATGGTAGGATAAGTTTTTCTTGTCATTTTTACCCTCGTGTCGTTTTCCCCTTTGTGTTTAGCATTTTTCACAACAAAGAAATAAAACCTGGGCATCGTAGCTTAATCACTTGTTGTTTGCTTTACGTCACCTTTTACTACTGTGATTCTCTTTCCTCGTGCATGTCATCTTCATTTTATGCTCCATCTACGTATTTAGAAATGAATAGATGTAATGACAGCTGCCATTTTTTGGTCTCCTCGTTTTCGAGCCGACTGTGCAGTGGTTATATTCAGAATTTACCAGCATAGAAACTGCAT